GTAGTCGTTAGACCATTGACCTCGCATCCCTGCAAAGCCGGGACGGAGCACGCCGGGTTCTCACCGGACCAGGCTCTCACATCACCAAGCGCGAAGCGCCGATGGGGGTTTGGCGAGTCGCATGAAGGGTGCGCTGCATCCTGCTCAGGGTGTTTGGCATCTTGTGCTTACTTCCTTGCGTACGGATGACAGCTGCGTATGACTCAATTTACTTTCTGGTGCTTTCACTTCCGGAGACAGTTTCAAGCACTGTGTAATTGTCTCGAGGGTGCTTGAGCATTTGAACACGACGTGGTGCGATCATGCCCCTTGCGTGGAGTGAGGGTTCTCGACCCCGCACAACATGATCTACTCGACCACCACTATTATTATCGCCAAAATAAAACAGATGCAAAACAAAAAGCTGTTACTTGGTTGTCGAGCTCACGAAGTGATCGGCTTGTTTGACGATGTCTTTGCCAGGCGACCAAATCCCATCCCCGATCGCAAAGGCCGGGGGGAGGGGCAGGAGGAATGGGGGGGGGCTAAATTTCTTGGGTGTGATCTCGGTGGCATCATCCGTTCCCAGACCGGTGCACGTATGAAGTCTTACCGCACACCTGGTTCACCCCCACCCCTCCCCCCCGCCCCCAATACATTGGGGTTGGGTCTTCGTCGCTGGGGAACACGGCGATCGTTTCGTTCCCCCGATAATCAGGGATACTCTTATCTCTTGTCGCTTCCTCTTTTTTTCGTCGACCATGAGGGTGGTCGAGTAGAACATGTGCGGAGTCGCATACCCTCACTCCGTGCAAAGACCGCCATGTGTGAAGTTGGTCGAGCACCTTGGAGGCAGGTACAATGTGCTTTGTTATTGTCTCTGGAAGAAGAGGTGAAGTACNCCCCGATAATCAGGGATACTCTTATCTCTTGTCGCTTCCTGTTTTTTTCGTCGACCATGAGGGTGGTCGAGTAGAACATGTGCGGAGTCGCATACCCTCACTCCGTGCAAAGACCGCCATGTGTGAAGTTGGTCGAGCACCTTGGAGGCAGGTACAATGTGCTTTGTTATTGTCTCTGGAAGAAGAGGTGAAGTACCAGAAGAGCAGCACAAGATGCCGTACACGAAACAATAAATATTTAATTTTGCAGGTCCCTGGGTAGTCAGGCCTTGAATTGCACCGCTCGTGTCGACTTTGAAATCTTGTATGCAAACAGTGAAGGAGCATTGGTAAAAAGTCCAGCCGGAGCCAAGCCGAAAGTCTCACCTGATTGTTCCTGCTTTTTGTGGGCACACAGCTCTTGGGTTTCCCAGCAATAATTTCCGATCGAGGTGTGTGGGTGTTTCTGGCGCCGGTAGATACTTCCTTTGCGTGTGCCATGTTTTCGGGCTCTTTGGCTGCTGCTGCTACTCTTTTTGCTATGCATGGTCGGTACAATGCGCCGCTGCTTTCGAGGCGCTTAAAATTTGACACGCCGCACCTCATGTGAGCAAGTCCAGCCTCTCTGGCAATCGTTGCCGCTTGTGATTGATGGTACGTTTGGGATCGGGATCGGCTGATTCTTCAAATCACGGTCGCCGCTGTCGTGTAGAGGCTGTTGCAGCTGTTGCAGCCGTCTGCCATCGNCTCTTCAAGTCACCGTCGCCGCCGCTGTCGTGTAGAGGCTGTTGCAGCTGTTGCAGCCGTCTGCCATCGAAGACGTCCAGCGCGCCCGTGATCTCGCCGCTACCTCTGCTGCTACTCATCGCCGCGTGCGTTNTTTCGGGCTCTTTGGCTGCTGCTGCTACTCTTTTTGCTATGCATGGTCGGTACAATGCGCCGCTGCTTTCGAGGCGCTTAAAATTTGACAAGCCGCACCTCATGTGAGCAAGTCCAGCCTCTCTGGCAATCGTTGCCGCTTGTGATTGATGGTACGTTTGGGATCGGGATCGGCTGACTCTTCAAATCACGGTCGCCGCTGTCGTGTAGAGGCTGTTGCAGCTGTTGCAGCCGTCTGCCATCGAAGACGTCCAGCGCGCCCGTGATCTCGCCGCTACCTCTGCTGCTACTCATCGCCGCGTGCGTTATTCTAGCGTACTTGCTTGGCCGCGTGAGGGTGGTGTGTGCCGCTGTAGGCTGTCTTGCTGATGCCGTTGCTGACAAAAAAATGCGTCCCGCGTTTTTCTTACCCTCTCTCTCTCTTGATTGGTGGAATGCGTGCCGCCACTGGCGGGAGGGGGTTGCAGCGGCAACGGTGGTCGTCGAGATGGGTGCCAGGCCCACGGACGGTTTGCTCTGTCTTCCGCGTCTCCCTTATTCCGGGTGTGTGTGAGGCACGCACTGCGCAAAGCAACAAGTGTGGATGAGGTGTAGGTGTGTAGGTGCGTTCGGAGAGCGTCGTCCCCTTTGGAGGATCCGGCTCTTTAGAACTTGTGTTCTAGCTCCTCAAGAAATATATTAATTTGCATCTCAACCAACCGTAATACAACAAAGGCGTAGACTGGTTTAGTGTGTTGTTGATATAATGGGTGGGTGTGGAGTTAATGTGAGTGTGTCATCGTCACTCGCTTCGCTCGAAGACACTTCACTGTATTTCGGGCGTGTTGCAGCGNCGCGTCGTCCCCTTCGGAGGATCCGGCTCTTTAGAACTAGTGTTCTAGCTGCTCAAGAAATACATTAATTGTGCATCTCAACCAACCGTAATACAACAAAGGCATAGACTGGTTTAGTGTGTTGTTGATATAATGGGTGGGTGTGGAGTTAATGCGAGTGTGTCATCGTCACTCGCTTCGCTCGAAGACACTTCACTGTATTTCGGGCGTGTTGCAGCGTGCGGTCCCAGTGCGGTCGACTCGCTTCGCTCGAAGGCACTTAACGGTATTTCGGGCGTGTTGCAGTGTGCGGTCCCAGTGCGGGTCGACTCGCATGTACTCAACGGGAGTTCGTGCGCAGGCAACGTATGTTTCCCCCTCTCGAGGAAATCGCTTTGTTCACTGGTGTGGCTTTCTTCGCTCGTTGACACTCGGCTCTATGGGACAAGAGGATTAATCGTTCGAACGCTCGGCAAGTGCATACTCCCCCTCGATACGTCTTGCCGCACCCGAATCGTTGTACACTACTCCAGGCCACACACCCGTCCACTCGCCTGGGGCATTGTACGTCTGTCTTTCATCCCAGAGAGTAGCGTACGCAGCTCCCCTACCCCTCACGTCAACCGTAACTGTCGCCGGCGCTTTTTGTCGCATGTCGGCGAGAGCGTTGATGGCATCAATGGGCGGTTGGAAAGCCTCCTTCCTGTAGAAACTCCCTCGCTAACTCTCTGACCTGCAAGACATCGTCTGGCAAGACGAGGAACAGCCCGCCGAGAGTTTTCCCCCTGGAGACGGCTGTGTACCCCTGCCCCTGGGCGAAGAACCCCCTAGAAGGAATCCACAGGGAACATATATAAGGGGGGGAGGAGACACCCACACACCACCGGGAGAGCGAGGGGGAGGGTGTGCCCTAGTATACTGCTGTCAGCTATCGGCGGAGCGTTGTGTTGTTGTGTTACGGTTAGGGCTAGGGTTAGTCGTGCGAGCGGCAGCGTTTTAGTCACCAGCGAGAGAAAGTGCAAGAGTCACACACCACCGGCCACGCTGCTAGACCTACAATTGATGGTACATGCCCTGCTGTAAACCCCTCAATACTCGTATGCGAGGGCCCACGGTGCTATCTGTGCCTTCCGTGTGCTATTAGTCTGGTCACAAATCACACGCTTTTGGAGTTGCCTGTAGATGAAAGCTCGAACCAAAGAGAGGAATAGAGACTTTATTTGCTATCCATACGCTGTTATGTAGAAAGCTCACTAATACACTCGTCTCCCCTTATCTCTAGCTCATGATGATGAATACCACCCCCCATCTCTGTAAATCACACTAGCGCCCCACAACCGGTCGCCCCGGTGGTCTAGTGGGTAGCCTCGCAGCCTGCTAAGGGCCAGGTCATGGGTTCGAGTCCCAGCAGAGAAAGTTGTTTTCTCACAAAATAAATCCTGGTCTAGCATGAAAGCGACGCGCTGCAAAGCTCGTTTGTTAGTAAACCATAATCGACCTCGTAAGTCGCGAGGGAAGGGATTGCTGTACCCTTCTCGCGATAAAAATACCACAGGCATGAACCGCAGGAGGGGGTCCAACCCCCCCCTCCTATGTGACCCCGGTTGGGTCGTCTAGCTAGTAGAAGTGGAGGATAGGGGCCAGAGGGGCAAACGACAGAGTCCAATGATGGGAGTTAAAAAAAAAAAAACACCACTTCCGCTGGCAACGCACGAGCCTTCTGCAGGTACTCCATTTTTTTTCCCACAAAATGGCTACACGGCATTATTTCACCTCGCCCTCTTGCATCCTCGCTGTATGCTCTTATCGGGGCACTCATGAAATAGCAGCACAGGCTGGCAGGCTGGGCACATGCATGGGCGCTATGGAATGCGAAGGTGTCATCGAAAAAAAACTGCGTGATGGTGAATGCGTCGATCAAGATCTCACCGATGCCTGCATCATCTTCGTTTCGAAAAACTGTCCCGTCTCCGCTGTCTCCGCCGAACAGGCTGTTCCAGGTATCGGATCCATCTTGTCCACCTCCATCCACCGAATCGTAATTCTCATTCACGTCGTTTGGGAGAGGCGACAGCGGGTGTGGTGGGGAAGCTGAACACTTGCCCATGTGCCTCGTTCCGTCTCGCTGGCGAGTAAATCTTTTAGCGCAGCCGGTGCAAACAAACCCGCCACCAACACAAATATCAAATTTTGAAGGCATCACCGGATCTTCCACTACGCCGCCCGTTTGCGCTGACGCGTTGATGGCACGCACGACGCCGACCTACCTGGGCACCCGGATGAGGGGGGCTCAGAGCCGCATTCTCCTGGGGGGGCGGGGGGGGGCGGTTTACTTGCTTCAACCCCCTTCTGTGTTGACTGCCTGCTGAGAGGGCGTGGCTCGCGAGCGCCCTCCTCGTGGGCAGGCATCGCTCGATCTTTGGCGACAGGAGAGGGGCGACGCGTGGAGGGATAGGTGGACAAAGGGGGGCGTTTCATCAACCTTCGTTCCCCTGATGAACGCCTTCTGCGGCAGTTCTCCGCGCCACGCGCCAGCGCCACATGCAACCACAGTTTTTCCGTCCTCTGTCCAGTCCTTTCTTCCTTTCACCTTCATCATGTCCCAGAACCAGCATCGTCTCACTCCGTCGTCGTCCAACTCGCACAGGAGGCCCGCCAACAAGAGCTCTTCTTCTGGGGGAGGGTCGTCCTCCAGCGGCGGTTCGAGCGGTTCTTCCGGCAATGAGCGCCGCCACTCCAACGGGTCCGGCATCGGCGAGAACAGATCCTGGCGTGCTGCAATCTTCGACGTCATGGAAGAGGAGGACGAGAACGTCGACCCCCGACAGGCCGTCGCGGAAGACCGCGGGTGTTGGAGCACACATCTCGCACATAGTCGCCGATGACTGATCAATAGTTAGTCAAGTGCATGTCGTGCTCTTGTCCCAGTAGCATGCGTGGCTTGCTGCCGGTCACACGCTGAAANGGCAATGAGCGCCGCCACTCCAACGGGTCCGGCATCGGCGAGAACAGATCCTGGCGTGCTGCAATCTTCGACGTCATGGAAGAGGAGGACGAGAACGTCGACCCCCGA